AATCTATGGAGGAAAGAGCAGGAAGGTGAGGGAAAGTTGCATAAATTTTTTTGGGATATTAAACGGTAGATTGAGGGAGAAAAAAAAAAAGAAGAGAGAGAGAGAAATGAAGCATATTTTCAAGAAGCTACACAAAGGCCATAATCAGGAGCCTAATCGAACCAACGAGACGCCACCGCCGCCGTCTCCCTCATGTGCCACCGATCATCAACGTACCATGTCCGGAAACTCCCTGACGAGTCCCTCCACGTCATCGCCTGCTCCGGCTACTGTTCCGACGAGCTTCGGGAACACTACAGCAGCGTCGACTGTGTCGGCAAGTAATGGTACTGATTACATGTTGTCGGAGGAGGAGTTCCAGGTTCAGTTAGCTCTAGCGATCAGCGCATCGAATTCGGAGGATCCCGAGAAGGATCAGATCCGCGCGGCGACTCTGCTGAGCTTGGGGGGCCATCATCAGATGGATACAGGCGGGGATAGGGAGGAGGTGCCCGCTGAGGATTTATCGAGACACTATTGGGTGAGTGTTCGTCAGCTTCTCCTTACCCATTTTGAGGTCGAATTGGATTCTGGTGGATTCAAGTTGGAATGGGTTTTGTAGTGTTGGTGCTGGTGGATTGTACCGAATGAGCTTACTTAAATTAGGGGCTTTTGGTCTGTGCCTATAAGCGATTTTGAATTTCTGGGAATTAGAGCAAGTTACCATGGAATTGTGTAAGTATGGCCATTCAGAGATTTATTTATTTATTTATATTTTTTTGGTGAAGAAAACTGTAACCTTGAGTATTCTAGCATCTTGCTTTTTTTTTGTGAGTTGATCTAGTGGAGAGAGCATGAATTGGAGAAAAGGGCGATATCTGGCAGTGATCCATTTTTGGATGATGGCAATTTATGTTTTGGAACACTTAATGCTGATGCATTAATTTTAATTGGATTCAATAGCATTAAATGTGCGTGAATTAGGTTTGGATTGCTGATTAGTGTTGGCAGTTGCTGCTGCTTGGTTTTGGATTATTAAGGTTAATGCAATTTACTCTCAGATTAGGTAAAAATGATGACTTGCGGCATTATGGAGTCTTTCACGCTATGATATTGTGGTGGATGAGGTTGAACTAAGGATTAGTAATTGTGTTTTGGTGGTTAAAGCTTGGAGTTTGGTTCTTAACAACTCAAATGCATTTTGTATCTAGTTTTAGATTATATATTGCTGGCCAACAAAATTCCATTGCTACCATTTTGGACTTGCATAATTTGTAGTTAAGAAAATTATGATCATCTTAATTATTTGAGTCTTGCTTTTTCAATTTTAGTACCTGAGTTGGAATGGTTAATTTTCTTGATTACATACATTAAATTCTCAATCCTTGCTTAATTTGGGGAAGGAGTATCTCCTCTGTACTGTTCTTTTGATTTCTATTTTGTGAGGCTTTATTCAATCAGGTAAGTAGTTGATTTGGCGATAGAAATGTGATTTAAAATCTGAAAATTTTGTTTATGTGGTTTAAGTTATATTGAGGTGATAATATTGACTAAAAAAGCAGTTGTTGCCAAATTGAGTTCACTTAAACAATTTAAAATGTAGAAAATTTTCCATTTAAGAATGCAAACAAATATCTGATTTTTTTGCCAGTTTAAAATATATATTCTCCATGCCGGAATGTCTTTCAGGTATATTGAGATTTGAAAGTTTCTTGTACATTGGTACTTCATATTAATGCTTGACTGTAATTTGTTTACATATATCGCTATGCTGTACTGTTTCTGTAGTTATTCTATTTGGCTTGACTTCTGTTAGGTGTTTTAATGCACCAGGAGTACAGTGTGCTTGATTACAAAGAGAAAGTGGTTGATGGTTTCTATGATGTGTATGGGCCTTCCACGAATTCAGTACTCCAAGGAAAATTGCCATCTCTTGCAGATCTTGAGACAAATCTTGGGAATTATGGCTTTGAAGTTGTGATTGTCAATCGAACAATTGACCCTGTCTTAGAAGAGTTGGTGCAAATTGCACATTGTATTGCATTAGATTGCCCTGCTAGTAATGTTAGTGTCTTAGTCCAAAAGCTTGCCGAATTTGTTGCAGGCCATATTGGTGGACCTGTTAAGGACGCTAACATAATGTTGGCAAGGTGGATGGAAAGGTGCATGGAATTGAGAACATCTCTTGAGACAAGTTTATTGCCTATTGGTTCCATTAATATAGGATTGTCTCGGCATCGTGCTTTACTTTTCAAGGTTAGTTATTTTGTTTTTTTTGTTGTCTT